TTAATTATTATTTTTCATTAAAACAAACAACAAAATAATTATTATGTTATTATCAAGCTACAGTGTTTTATATAAAATTATATTTTCTTTTATATAATCTACATAGATGAATGTTAAATAGGAATTTATCTCTTCTCTTAAAGAGTGCATTTAATTTTATTTTATTGCAATTTATATATATACATGTATTTCAAGTAGACAAGGTCCACAATCCAATTGTCAAATAATATATTAATATTTCATCGAAATTTAATTGTATAATATTATTGCCATTATTATAAAGTAGAGGAAGTATGAAATAATAAATAATACAGCATTAGTATGTTCTTATGGAATTAATTAACTAAATAATTAGAAAATTTGCATTTAATTGCAACAAATTATTCCATGAATGCGAAGGAAGACCTATGCACATAATAAGTTGAACTTCACATTTCTTAGATATCTACAATACACTACAATACCTCCATTAATTGAAGAGAGGCTGACAACTGTCCACATGAAAAAGAAAAATGAAATAAAACAAAAATGTATAATAGCAGAAACAATGCCCTTGAACTAATCCTAAACACCCGGAAGACTATAAACCCAAGCGCTCGTGCATAACGGCCTCCACTTCTTCAAAGGAAATTGTAGTCGAATAGGAAAAGGCAGCACTAATGATAATATATTTACGAAATTCTATTATTTTCTGTATTATCATTTACATATAAAACACAATGAAAAATTGTAACTAAAAACTGAAGAAACTAGAAAAACTTAAATAGGTATATGGTGGACGTCACAATGTTACACATGAAGCTATTAAGAAATAACAAAAACGAGAATATTACGAAATGATAGAATAATTGCAGGAATTAGCACAGAACACAAGAAACTGTAATTTCTTAGATTATTTATTACTGTAAGAAGGTGCATCTGCAATGTAAAAAACATGTTTGAAGAAGAATAATAATTTATACACAAAAGACATTAATTTTAGCTTCATAAAATATTTAATGAAATGACCATATATTCTACAGACTTATTTTTATACAACTCAAAAAAATATGGTTTGAAATAAAAAATAGAATTGAAATGTTATTTTAGGAAAACAATGCTACTAATTGCTTGACGATCTACTTTGTACATTTCAAACTCGAACTTTACAAATTACAAAAACTTTTATTTCACAATAAAATACAATGTTTCAAGTGAGTAACAGTTTAAAAGAATGATCCCTGTTATTAATATAAAAAGACAGAATGGTTGACACAGTCATTACGTACTATAAAAAGTTAGTATTTATAACTTTACAGACATCAGTCTACGTATATTGAAATGTGTTTGAAGAGCGTTTACAATAATCTCCACGTTCAATAATTAGAATAAATAATCCAAAGATTAATTACATCAATGCTTAATCAATATTTATATCTATATTTGCACATCGAGTAATTAGTAAACTAATCGAGAATTGTTAATCAGTACAATCAAAGTGTGATAAATTAGATGATTCTACGTAAATCAAAACATTGAGAAAACGCAGCAAACTGAATTCAATGATTTACCTGGAAATGAAGTTCCGTCGAAAGACAGCAGAGGGAATTGCAATTTTTTGATTGGGTGCCTTCAATCAACGAAGAGAACGTGTTCTACTGCGAATGATAGCACAACCATCCCCTTTATATATCCTCGGCTATCCGAGACTGTTTTTCATCCATCGAATCTAAAATGGCTGACACTTCTGTGCACGCTTCTTTCTTCTCTTTTTGCTTGCGATACATTTTTCGTTAACTTGAACACTTCCTGTCGCTTCCGTTTAAAAAAAAGACACTGTTTAACGACGACAGGATGGCAGTGTAACCAATCAGTTAGAGAAAACATTCAAGCTTCCGGTAGTGAAACCGACAGAACGCTGAATGTATAAACATTTACGTAGTCAGTTACATTGAGGATTATAATCGATTTAATCGTACAATATTTCCATTTCGCTCGAATTTGTATAGAAATTTATTGAAAAAATGGTAGACAGTGAATGTTGTATTATCTAGATATTTTGAATTTTAGTTTAAGCATTTTAAATAATCACAATGATTAATCTATGTCACAATTTTTTTTAATTAGCACGTTCGCTATCATCGTTTGTTTCAGTGACGATGTTCTGAATTGTAATCTATTCAATCCAATAAATCAACTAAACAAACTATTGGACAAATGAAACTAAAACGAGTGATTGGGTTCCTAAATGTAATGTAGTATCTTATAACTTTAAATAACAATATATATAATATTAATTTCATTTTCTTTATGTAAACTATAGGACAGCGGCCGTCACAAATATGTAACGTTGGTAACGAACGTGTCTATTATAATGTTCATTATTAATTTCGTTGGTTAATACAAGTTTTGACTGCTATTCGATATCAACTTCGATATAACTATAGGTCAAAAGTTTGGGACCGATACATCGGTTTAATTTTTTGCGTATGATAAAGGGACATGGACGTGTGTGTATTAGTCAAATGTAAAGATATATAAGGTTTGTTATTTTATTTGATATATTTATGAAATATATCATTTTTTATTTATGACGTTCCATATGAAATACTTCAAACTTTTGACCGCCAGTGTATTTTTAGTGTTTAAAGGTTTGAAAGTTCATTAATATTTTGAGAAAATGTTTAAAAGATATAATATTTATACATGTAATAATAGCAAAGACAATGGCATCTTTACTATGCTTACATTGTAATAAACGTAGAAAATGATGAAGAAAGGAATATTGAAATTAACTTATATTAAAAAGCACAGAAATGTAAATACAATACGAAATAAAACGAATTAAGGATTAACAATTGATATAAAATGAAGTAAAATAAAATGAAATAGAACAATGAATGATAAACATGCATGCAAAGGAAAGGTTCAGTGAATATCGAAGCTGTAACTAAATCCAATCTTTCATTATCAATACAATTGTTTAGAAAAACTATTAATGTTTCAACAAAAAGGAAATGCTTTTATTGTTTTTCACGGTAATGGAAATAGGCCACGACGTGACTTAATTATTGTGTATCATGTCTAGGTACGTAGCAGTTTTCACACCGTATTTGCAGAGTTCGAATCCCTACTTATAGGTCATAAATGTGGCTCCTGACGTCATACCGCTTTTTTATATCAATTTTTATGCTAGTGATGTAATTCCGTTGAGTAAAACGTAGAATACAAAAATTCCTTATATTAATTTACCTAATTGAGTGCATAACGTAATTGCCTGCAATTCATTTTTGTTTTTCGTTACATAATTGCACGAGATAAGACACAAATAAACATCACACCATTGGTATACATTTTCTGCATAAAATGAATATATAATGTGTTTGAGAAAAAAACAAAAATTAACCTTTCGGGCTCGTCCGGGATTTGAACCCGGGACCTCTCGCACCCGAAGCGAGAATCATACCCCTAGACCAACGAGCCAACTTGAAAACTTTTTTCCCCTTCACCATTACCATGCACCTGGTAATCTAAAAAAAATCAATTGTTAATATATTAATATAATTATATATATTTATATAATTATATATTAATATACGCATTTGTTAATAACAAACCAAATATCTACTTTGCTGCGATACATATTCACGTAATTCAAATAACTGATACAGGATGTTCAAAAAGATATTTCAGTATTTATATGATACAACGCACTATAATGAATCAAAAAATTGTAAGGAACATAGATCTTACCACTTTATAGACGGATGACAAAATACATTTATATGAATGATAATACATATTTCATGCATAGTTTGAATATTTAAAAATTTCTGAACAATATATGTTTTATCAAATTATAAATCAAACTATAATAAAAAGGATGTGATAATTATTTACAACACTGATTCCTCACTGATTTGGGTGGCCCAGAAATATACTGTGGGAGACTTAATTCTGAACAACTGAAAAGTTCTTACGAAAAAAGTAACCGCCGTATGACCTTGATCTTGACATATATTGTTAAGGTTATTGTTCTGTATATCCAGGACTTTAAACTTTTTGACAGTGAGTATTGGTCCAAAAGTTATGAAACATTAAAGTTCCGCATTACGCTAGAAATTTTCGTCTTCAATTTCATTTATTGAAGTTCTTCCTTAGAATATGTGTACTCATTTAGATAATAGGGATTGTTATTAGTGGAGCTAGTTTATCCAGGATCGGGATGCAGATTTCACTAATTAGCATGGTGGACGTAGATAGAGACAACACGAGTCAAAGAAAAAGATAAAGTGAGAGTCGAAATATTCAGCAATATTTAAAGCTCACAATGAGCTTGAGATCGTTAACTAAGAAATCAAACGTATTCATTTTTTACTTTGATGAATGAAACTTTCACCATCATATTTGCTACGTATTTCTCATTAAAATGAC